GTAGTTCATTAAAACACTGCTATTCTGTTTGTCCGATATTTGACTAAAAAGTCTCCAAAAGTCTTCAACCGTACCAACACGGCCCAGAGGTTAAAGTTCAGTGACTGGATTTGCTGAAGTGACACCTAGCAGCTCCCACCTGTCACTCAAAGAGGCCGCGCCCCCTAATTCTACATCACTTTAAGCCTTAAAGACTTCATATAGATGAAAAAGATCATCCTGTTGAATTATCATGAAGAGAGAAATAAGCTCTAGTGACCAGAACTGTTTTTTTTACTGGGCTGTAAACATGTTTATTTCTACTGTGAAGTTGGACATTTTATCATAGAGCTCTATGGGGACTGATCAATGGCTGTTTATTAAAATGGACAGAGCTTCTCGGTCTCCCTCGGTTTCACTGATTTGAAGCCATGATACCACCATGACGGGTGCTGACATATTGGGATTGTGACGTAATTTGGAGCACAGGAAATCGTACCGATAAAAAGTCAAAGATCTCTCATGTGAGTTCGGGCCGCAGGAGAACGGATTCTTCTGTCGATTTGAAGCAGACGTTCATGGTTAACGGGAAGAACAATGTCTATAATGTTAGTTTTTGTCACATTTCTATTCACCTCTCCTCCTCTGATAATCCGAATGCTGTGAACGCTCATTTGACAACAGAGCTGACAATCATGATTCTCTCATTTTTATATCAAATTACAAATTAAAACAGAACGATGAACACATAGACACAAATCATCATGATAATAGTAAACATTCACGGCAGAATCTGGGTATGAGACAAACTTATTGGACGTATAGTTTAACTTTATGGTTCGACCCGTGTCCCATTTGTTAACATGGAGGAGGAGGGGTTTAAGACCTATACTGCAGCCAACCAGCAGGGGGAGCTCTATATTATTCTGGCTTCACTCTCAGGTGACTCTCGCTCCGTCCATCTCAAAACACCATATATGGGATTGACTCACTTTTGGAGACAGCCTATAGTGGACACTTGGGGTACTGCAGTTTTGTAGGAGTCCCTTTATTTGTCATCAAACTTGTATCACCGCTCCTTTTTGGCCTTTTACTTTCACCTGCATTTTAGTGGATTTGACCTTTTTGTTTGTCCTCCTCCAACTAGCCACATGAATTTGGAATTTCGAGTCTGTTTGCCATGTAAGTGAGGTTCATTTGTGCTGCTGTGAAAGCTGTCAATCGAACTCTGGTGTGGACCAAACAACCGTACAAAGACCGCTTGAAAAGATGGTTCTTGGTCTGCATTTTTATCAGGCATTGTTTCGGTTAGTTTGTAGTAAGAACATGAACCGACCTCGATCCGACCTAACTGCAGGAAGTAACCACCTTGAGCCATCTCTGTTCAACATCACTGAACGTGTTAAAGATCACAGGCAGACATGACGGAGCTTCAGAAACAGTTTGGGTGGATGAGCAGGTCCTGGTTCAGGACGATTAACAACATCAACATGTTATTTTCACAAAAATAATTTCAAAAAAATTATGTATATTTTTTTTAAAGTACCTGATTGGTTAACGATGAATTTCCAGCTGTGTTGGGTCACATGTTTGTCTTTGTGTATTTAAAGGCAGGGTTGATAATTTTCAAAAATTAGCGTGATTTTGAAAGTAGCATTCCCTCAGTGCTCTGTCTGTGCCCACCCCCTCCCCTCTGTGCTCCCTCTAAAGCCACGCCCCCTCACTTACATGAACGACCGCCGTTGCTCCAGAAGCCGACCTCAGCTCATCGCTTGCATTGTGTCTCGTTTCATGTCTCATTTAGCGATAAGTAAACTCACAGTATAAACTCCGTCATCGGTGACGCACTTTGAGGTAGAGAGCGAACAGAAAGACATGGAGGTGTTTGATTGGTTCATCAGATTGATACCTCATGGCAGACATTGGTTGAAGTTTTTATAGGTTTACAAACGCTACAGATGACGGATTTTCTTTGTTCCTTTTTCAGAGAACATGAGTTATTAATTTCTGTCAGGACCTAAAGACAATTTCAACCAAAATCTAGAGAAAATTACCAACCCTGCCTTTAAGATGGTGACTCACAAATTACGTGAAAGTTGTAGTCTGAGGGAGAGCATGTTGGCTCGAAATGTCACTTACTAAATCCTTCAAACGGGAGCTTCTTGGAGCTTCTTGGTGCTTCTTGTGACATTGTTTTGCTTTATCTACTCGTGTTTTTTTGATCCAGCGGCCACTGAGGGATGTGCGTGTCTTTCATGTGGTCTAAATTTGACATATTTTAGAGGAAGGCTTAACAGACATTTGCTGAAATGTATGCAGGTTTTGCAGATGAATTAAATTTGTTACTGTCATCTGTTTCACACTAAAGAAGAGTCAACCACAAGTTACAGCGTGGAGAGACGGTGCATCACAATGAAGATGTATTGATCAATTTAAGAATAAAATACTAGAAACAGAAAGAAAACACGTCCAGTTTTATTCATCACACACTCTCTACAGTCCAGTCAACCTTTAGCCTCTATGCTGTGGTAAACACACACATACACACACACACACACACACACACACACACACACACACACACACACACACACACACACACACACACACACACACACACACACACACACACACAGATTTACATGTAGCCTACAGTGTGCTGCTCTGCATCTGTATCTGTACATTTGTTCCCAGTGTCAATAAAGATCTTTTAAATTGAATTGAAGCGAGCTGAATGTGGAGGAGAAAAAGCGGAGGCCGTAAAGAGGAGAGAGAGAGAGATGGAGAGAGGAAAAGTGAAAAGAGGAAAAACAGACAGAAGAGGAAGAGGAGGAGGAGAGAGAAAAGTGTGCGAGAGAAATAATACGTGTGAATTAGAGAGGGAGAGAGACTACTGGAGATAAGAGAGAGAGAGAGGGGAGGGGAGAGGGTAAGTGAGAGGGGCAGAAGGAGGAGGGGGAACAGAGAGAGAGGCTCGCGCAGCAGCTGCTCTGGTAGTTTTGGCTCCGGAGACGCGCAGGACGCAGCGAAGTGTCCCGGCTCCCCTCGATGGTTCACCGCAGTCCGAAGGAGGGACAGACCTTCCATCGCTGCCCGGAGATCAGCGCCGAGGAGCCGCCGTACTCACTCTGACAGCAGTAAGCCTTTCCTGCGCTTCTACAACTTTCACTGAAAAAAAGAAAAACAACAACAACAACAACATCAAAAACAACGGGGGGGACTCCGGTAAATCCAAGCGGAGCGTCCCGGCGTCACTATACCCACCAAACGCTTTCTCTGTCCGGCAACAGGACAGCACATTTGGACCGCTGATCTCACTTGGACTTAACCGGAACATCCTTTTTTTTCCCCTCGAAACTTTTCCGCATGAGTCTAATATGTGCGTGACTTAGAGATCGGTTGGTTATTTATTTTTAGTGGGTTTCCTTTTTTTTTTGTTGCGCTTGGTGTGCGTAAAATCTGCGTTAAATCAACCCGAGAACCGCGCGAGCGGAGCAGTGCTGGAGGCTGGAGCGGAGGGTCAAACAGGCTGGACACACTTTAGAGTAACACGTTTTTTATTGGCTGTGGAGTTTATACAGATTTTATGTCTCAAATGTGGTTTTTAGAGACCTTTTGAATTGTCGAAAGGTAACTCACTGCTCGTTTTTTATGAAAGTTTAAGAACAAAAAAACCCCAAGAAGAACGTAAAATGAAGTTAAAGATTAAGGACTCATGCACGTTTTTCGAAAAAAAAAAAAAAAAAAAAAAGCAGGATTGCTTTAATGCATTTTATATCTTTTTAAAAACCACAACTACTTATTTCTGTAAATACCAAACGCTGCAACAACTCATTGATGTGTTCATGTTAACCTGTGGAGAGGTGGAAACACGTGTGGTTTCTGCAAATACATTTTAATGCACAGATGAATATAAAACATATTAAATTAATCTCCAAACTACCTGAACTATTCACCTCAAAGAGAGCAAATTAGTTCTTATATTTAACTTTTTTCTAAAACTCTGTATTTCCTCTTTGTAAGCCGTGAGATGCTGCAGGCTGAAACAGAGACGCGTTTTCACTGAACAGGACGATTTGAAACTCCTGAAACATAACGCACTTATACCTGATAATCCTCCTGTGAAGTAAACATTTAAAGCAGGAGGTCTGTTCTAACAGATATGGATTTAAAATCTACATTCATGGAGGGAGAAGAGATTTTGAAAATGCTCTTAAGATTCTGCAAAAACTGAAAAATAGCTCTAAATCTTTAGGTTTAAACTCTGCTTCCTCCTGACTCCATTTACCACCAAAAACATGAAAATAATTCAGTTATCTTTTTACCTCAATGTTCATATATAAACATGTGTTTTTTTGTACTACAAGAAAAATCTATGAATATGAATCATCTTCTGGAAACACGAGCAGACTGGAGAAAGTGTAACTTCAACAGGATTAAGATGAACTCCAGCATCTCGGCTGTACATTTAACACCAACAAAAAGAGGCCGTCACTTCCTCATTTTCTGTGTGAACACCTGGAGTCTAAAGTAAAGGTGAAGAAGTGTAAAACAGGCGGAGGTCACACATCTAAAGTTTAAACTGAATGAAAAGGTGAAATGTTCAGGTTGAGTAAATTAGATGTTCAAACACTTTGTGATGAGATTAGATTTTTAGTCTCAGTTAACGGCCTGAAAGTGATTTTAGAGTGTGTGTTCTTTTTCAATGTAAACCTGAAACAGATAGTTACTTCTCCGCTCCCTTTGTGTGTGTGTGTGTGTGCATGTGTGTGCATGTGTGTGTGTGTGTGTTTGGTTTGAAATCCCTGAAACAGAATTCAAACACACATTCGACCCTCTGTGTTTCCCGTACATGTTTAACACCCTGCCCTGACCTCCTCTCTGTGTCTCTGTGTGTTTTGATGCTGATGATTGACACCTCCTCTCTCCTCT